CACTAAGGGAGTAGAATTCCATCTTTTCTTACAGTAATCAGTCAGGCCTTCTACTTTTGCAAGAACAACTAAAGAAATGACTATGCAGGGTGTTCAAAATTATCTTTACAATTTCAATTCCACATACAATTGAAATCATAAAGAAAATATTCAGGCGCCCTGTAAAGTCCATGAACGAAAAATTACTATTTCCATATTATGAAGCAATGGGATGGGGAAGGGCCGAGGTGAAGAGGTTTACTTTCCTAAATTCTCCTAGTCGTTTTCAGACTGGGATTCTCAGCTCCTCCGTTTTAACAATGGGGAATAACTAGTGTCAGTTGGCTTCCCTTTGCTCTGGTGTTTGCTCACTTACCCAAAGACCAAGTGACTTCCCCGCTGGCTGCAGGAAAGCTTGTATATTTATTCAAGAGATTGCCCATGCAAGCAAATGATGATTGAGTGCCGAGGTCAATTTAGTTGAAACTGCTCTTCATTGCTTTCTCTGAATGTATGGGAACATAGACCTAGAGAGGAACTGGGGAATTTGATATACTGGAGAAAAAGCAGATGGTTTGGTACCAAATATATACTGTATGTGTAAGGCAAACATGGTATTTAGAAGGGAAACATTGTATATTTTTACATGCTAAAGTTAAAAACCACTCGTATCACATTTGTGTATGCAAAGGCACACACGCGCGCACACACACATAGAATCTAATCTTTGGAGGTTCGTATCACTTGATCTTGTGGGTTTGAAAAAGAGTGATGAATAAATTAATTAACCATGGACATTTAAATTGGGTTGTCTTTGATAGAAATCCTAGAGATAGAAAACCAGTGCGACAATTAGCTGGGTGTGTAATGTCTAGATTCTATATCCAGGAAAATATAAAATGTAGCAGAGGCATGTGCAAACTAAGGCCTACAGGCCAGAGACAGCCCGTTGGGCCCTTATATCCAGCCCTCAAAATTTCCCCTGTCCTCTGGGCATAAGGATGTGGTTGCCTACTGTGTCCTTATGCCGAAAGGACGAGGGAGGAAGGCATGCAGCAGTTGGAGCCCTCTTAGCAGATAGAAATATTGGGTTAGCACTGGCCCCCAATCTCTGCTCAGGCACAAAGCCAGATAACATTACACTGCTATTGTAAGCATGTTAGTGCAGAAGGATGTCCTACTCAGTTCAATGCAGTTTACATCAAAGGAAAGAGAGCCCAGGATTGCATCAGGTTCCTGTGAGGCATAATGTTGGCAGGTCAAACCCATAGGGATATGTGAAGTGATTTGAAAGTCTCTTAGTCTCTAATGTTTAAATATGCTGTTTTAATATTGTTTTAAATTGTTTTAAAATTGCTTTTAATTGTTGTAGTTGTTCGGGCAAGGAATAATGCCACTCATGTAAGCAGCCCTGAGTCCTTCTGTCCATCCCCTCCCTGGGGTGAGAAGGGTGGGATATAAATGCCATAAAATAAATAAATTCACCTTGTATTTTAATGTTTTCTCCAAATCCCACTTGCAATCTCAACATGTAAATCAGATTGTTTTGTTTTTCCTGCTTACAAGAGATTCCATTTTTTTTGCATTAAAAGTGCACTAATTTTAATGTATGCATTTTGCCCACAATTTCCCAAGATATATACAGGCAGCTCTCCACATTTGCAGTTTTAACATGAATGGATACGATTATTTGCAGATCTTATTAATGTTGTCTCTAAGAATCTCTAGGTCCTCCAGGACAATCAGTGGAAGTTGGTCATACTTGACCATATCTATTTTTCTGCCTAAATGTAGGACCTTACATTATCCCCTTTGTAACTTATGTCAATAACTTTGGTCCCTAATTTCTGGTTTTGAAATCTGCACAGGGTTAGCACAAATTATAAATTATAATATGCTGGTGGTTTCGGTCCCCCCATTTTGCCTTTCACCTCATGCACCAAGAAGGATATTTTTGCGCTTTTTGAAAGCAGTTTATGTTTAACAATAAAATGACATGTCATGCTCAGGAAATTGAGTGTATTCTGTTGTGCCATTTCCTGCTTGAAGGCTCGCTTAAGATAGGCAAAGTCAAATGCTTAATAATAGCAACCAATCTGTTGGGCCAACATAGTAGCAATTCCACAGAACAAAATATAATTTAATTCCAATAACAACAGACCATAAGATCTCTGGTGGAGGCAGGTCAAATTTATACTCAAAAGAGGAAGATTACATGCACTTGTTTCTCCTTAAACAATGTTTTCGAAGCCAACATCTGTCAAAAGACCCGTTTCCACATTGTTACAAACACTGACCAGAAGACTTCATGAATTAATTTGGAACCTGACATAACAATAATTTCCATGGTTGCACAACTCAAAAAGTGATAAGAAGCCAGTACATACACAATGAGCCAAACCGACAGGACAAGAATACAAGCTGTACAAGAACAAAGACATAGCAACTTTTCACAACACAGCTTCATGAAAAACTTTAAATAAAGAAAAAAACACTTCAAAGACAATATTGGATGACATTATTAAAAATGAGGATGAATATTACCTAATGTACTTCTATCTTGAGCTGCACCACATAATTAAAAAAGGAGAAAAATCCTGACATAACTCGCAAATAAAGATGTGGACATGACTGTCAGTGAGCAAGAAGAAACAGAAATTCCCATTCAAATTGCAATATAATAAGACTGAATCCCACTTCATATGAGAAAAAGTTTCAAAATACACCTTACTGAGGAAACAATTCAAATGAATGTTACATCCTCCTATAAATTGTCAGCTGTACAGTCCAGGTGCATATACGCAGTGGAATTACTGCTGTTTGACACCACTTCATCTACATTGGTTCCATGCTATGGAATCACAGAAGTTGGAGTTTGATGCGGCACCAGCCCTCTTTGGCAGATAAGGCTAAAGACCTTATAAAGCTGTAACTCCTATGCTCTCATGCTTGGCAAATCATATACAGGTTTTAAAAATAAATAAAGGGGATCTACTGTCCATTGACTCAAATGGTTTTTGTATCATCACATTTCTGAATGCATGCCTCAGAGAATTCAAATCCTGCTGACATGTGGATGTCACTGGAAATGAGGCTGTATGGAGCCTTTTCTGCTCTTCTACTATTGACATTTATTTAAAAACATGTATACCCTGTATTTTGGGCCCATAAGAGACCTTCATAATGGCTAACATTATAGGTTTCAAAAACAATGTACAATCCAAACAAATATAAGGAGAGTAAAATCACAGCTGCAATACACTGAATCACAGAAGAAAAGAGGATTCACTGAAACTAACATAATGTAAAGAAGGCAGCCAGTGTGGCACAGTGGTTTGAGTGTTGAACTTTGACTCTGGAGATCAGAGTTTGATTCCTTCTTGGCCATGGAAACCCACTGGGTGACCTTGGGGATGTCGCACACTCTCAGTCCCGGAAAACCCTGTGATAGATTTGCCTTAGGGTTGCCCAGAGTTGGAAACAACTTGGATGACAACAAATGAAAACAACATGCAGACTGAGTTGACTGAATAACTAGGCTCAGAAGTTAAAACAATCAGAGAACCTGCATTTTAAAAATATGGCTGGGAAATCTTTGTTCTATGACATGTTTTGGAGTCATTCCCTCAATCTTCAATACAGGCAGTCCCCAAGTTATGAACAAGACAGGTTCTGTAGGATTGTTCTTAAGTTGAATTTGTTTGTAGGTCTGAATAGGTACATTTTAAAAGTATAACTCCAGCCAGATATGTATATACTTTAGCACTGGATAACATAGGGAAGGGTTAACACCTCTGTGGTGTTTGTTTCACTGTCTATGCCCCTGTTCAGAAGATTTCACCTCACTTTCTATCTTTGGATTTTGAGAAATTTGGCTTGAGTGGAAATAAGGATTGGTGGGAAAGCTTCAGTGGAGACACATTTTCCCCATGATAACTCTTTCAGGAGAGAATTTCCCTTTCGATGGGTAGATTTATCTCACTTCTTGTTGTCTCAGCCCTGTTCTTAAATATGAGTCATTTGTAAGTTGGATGTTTGCAACTCGGGGACTGTCTGTTCAGGCCATACGCTGGCTTAGGCTTTTAGGCACTGATACCTAAACACCCAAAGAATAAAGAGACTCCCACATTTGTCTTAAAACTTTAGGAAGGGCCTACTCCACTTAAAACAGTGGTTCTCAAGCTGTGGGTTCCCAGATGATTTGGCCTTCAATTCCCAGAAATCCGAACAGCTGGTAAACTGGCTGGGATTTCTGGAAGTTGTAGGCCAAAACACCTGAGGACCCACAACTTGAGAACCACTAACTTAAAATGTGCTCGGTGGAAGGGAAACACATCTCAACATTTGCTGGGGAACAGATTGATAATACTACTACAACATCATTACCTTACAATGAGCTAGATGCAACTCAACTCCTGTTCTGATAAGAAAGATATATTTGCTCTACAGAAACTAATATACTTTTGGCTGTTGTTCCTTACAGAACACTGAACATGCTCAGCATAAATGTAACTCAGACCTGAGCCTGTTTTTTCCAATATTAAATGTATATACATATGACCTTTCAGAGAAGCTTCAATGCATTTATTCATTGCACATTAAACACACCCAATATATCTATATATATTTCACTATATATATTTATATAGATATATATATATATTATATAAGCATGACTTATATGTACATATTTACAACCCTTCAAAAGATACTGCATTTATATACAGATACAGCTCATCAACGAGATTAAAAAAATTTCTTCATCAAGCAAGATATTCTTAAATCCCTAAGAAGTTTTAGAGGAAGCTTATCACATTGTGCCCTGTTTAGCCGTAAACACAGTCCAGCATTATCCTGGAACTCCCGTTAGCCGCAATGAGAAAAAGCTGAATTAAAACAGTTACTGATGAAGAAATAAGTTACTGATGAAGAAATCCCACTTGTTTAACAGGAAGAAGAGATACAGAAAATGTGGCATTTTAAAAAACACAATTTTGTAGTGCTATTTTGTTTCCCCCTCCCTCAATATGTGCCTTCGGTTCATTTATTCAAACTGCAATATTGCAGGCAAAGGACAGAAGTGTGGGTGCATGTCAGTCTTGTTTTTTAAAAAAGCAAACACACAGTGGAAAGATATTCTTCTCTGGAAGAATAAATGGCTTCTTCCCTAAAGGACTCTTTAAACCCTGAGGATAAAAGGTAATGAGAGGCTTGTGTTCACAACCTTCATTTATAACCCCCCTTCCCACCACAAAAGGCCGAACAAAAGTCAGTTTCAGATCTCTGTGAGAGTGAGTTTGTACGTTCCAGCAGCCTCTTCAATCTGTAACTGGAAGGTGTCTTCATTGGAATAGTGCTTCACAATGTTATCATCCATATTCACTAAGATGCTGGGGAAAGAACAGAGTGTTAAAGACAGAATGAATAATGGCTGCAAAGAAAGACATCAATGACAACAGCACAGAACAAATCATACCCGGTGGGTACCACCATAGTCTTCTAAGCAAGCCTAGCAGGATCGGCATCATGGCAGAAATGACATTCATTTCACTTTGCTCTCTTGTCAACTGAGGGTGCTGGAGATGATGGGAATGAATGCATGACAGTCTTGTAACTGGCTTCTGGCAAACTGGAGAGCACCTTGAACTAGTCAGAGGCAGTGAGAAGCCCAGCCTGCCAGACAGAAACTGGGAAACACTAAATGCATTTTCTTACTTCACTTGTCTGATAGTTCACTTTAAATCTGAAGGTCACAGGTATACCTTAAAGAGGCTTAATTATCAGAATTCACATAAAGAGATCTAGAAATTATAGTTTTTGTGAAGGGACAAGTATCAAATGAGGCATTTTCAGTAAGAACCCTCATAAACCAGTGCTTATTTTAGACCTCAGTGACATTTTCTTCCCTTTCAAAAGCAATGAATTAAAGGAGCTAAACCAGGGAAAATATATGAATCTGGCTCCAGTAAGATACACAGCCCGAGGACACGTTTCACTACTTCAGAGCAACCAGAAATTTCTGGCATTTAGAGTCACTTTCAGATACTCAACAAAGTTTTGTTGTTTTGTCAAAGACTTTCCTGGCCAGAATCACTGGGTTGCTGTAAGTATTCCAGGCTGTATGGCCATGTTCCAGAATCATTCTCTCCTGACGTTTCACCCAAATCTATGGCAGGCATCCTCAGAGGTTGCCTCTGAGGATGCCTGCCATAGATGTGGATGAAACATCCGGAAAGAACGCTTCTGGAACATGGCCATACAGCCTGGAAACTCACAGCAACCCAAAGTTCTGTTGTGTTTGGCTTTTGCCTAAAACAAGGTATGTATGCACATGGGGAAGACATGGGGAATCACCCCTTCAGTGATTCTGGAGGCATGATTTTTTCCTGTGATTTTATAAACAAATATGGAGGTGGTTGGTTGCAAAAAGCTCTTGCTCTGGAATCATGTAGGCCTGCAGAACACATAATTCCCACATCATTATAGACAGATTTTAAAATAGTTGCACTGTGAACATGTCAAACATCTTTTTTTCTGAGTTACAGAAAGTATTATAACTACTGTCAGACTCTAAAACAAGTGACTGGAATAGTATGACCCTAATCCAAAACTTCCTTAGGTTTCAATGTTGCCAATTTTGAATATTAAATGAAGCATGTCTCAGACATGGGCAGAATCCACTGGTTATCATCTTACACATCACTAGTTGACATCATAACCAGGCTCTAGGGTTTTGGAGGCTTTCATGCAACACAAAGTCCAGATTCTGCCGAAACATATCTAAGAGCACTATCATTTTGCTGTGCAACTATTTTGGGCATGTGTTTGATTATGTATTGACTGAGCCGCACTAGGCAGCTATTGTGATCTCTTCCAACTCTTACGATATTATTATTATTATTATTATTATTATTATTGGCAAAACTATGGAGCATTAATCTGTGACCTGTAATCCTTTGTCTTCTGAAGAAGTTCAGGATTTCCATAGAAAGGGTCAACTAAATGAGTCTTGTTTTTACAAGATCATTATTTGAGGCAGGGGTGGCAATAATGCATTGCATTTATTGAAAACATGGAGAAGATATATGGAGGAGAAAGTGAAAAAGAGCTTTTTAAGATGTCATGTTTTCCTTATCACGCCACACAAGGAGCCACGTTGAGATATACTCACCCCTTTTTACATTTCTTGAATACTTTCCCAATTTTATCAATAGGGACATCATATTTGTCAGATATCTGTCAACAAAAAATTGAAATGAAGAAGTGCAATGGCTCTCTTTAAACATTTGCATTGCAACTGCATTTCATGCTAACCATTTGGATTTCCACATAAAAAACAGAAAAACCATGGCATACATCTACTTTTTTCAGCTTCATTTTTGTTTCCTCTTAGCTTCATTCACTTATGTTTGCTTAGCAAAGTCAGGTCTGGACAAAGAATAATGGTTTGTCAAATCAGGCATCAAGCCAAGCCTATGTTATTATAAAACAGGCATTTTCAACCTGTGTCCCTCTAGGCGTATGGGCATCCAACTCCCAAAAGCCCTAGTCAACTTGTCCAATGGTCAGGAGTTCTGGGAGCTGGTCCAAAACATCCGAGGGCTGAAGGGTTGAAGAGGCCCACGTGAAGGAGGTAAGAAGATCTGGCATGAAGGCAGCCAGCCTTCATGGCGAGGAAACTGTGAAGAAATAGGATATACCAAAAGGTAGAAGCTTGCCTGTATGAAATTCGAGCAAAGTTTGAAGTTGGTACAGACAGAGACAGGGATTGGAGCTGAAGTAGAAAAGGATTTAGATTTGAGAAAAAAGGGAGAAGTACATATAGTTTTGAGGAGTTTAAAAATAGATTAGAAATTATTATATTTGTATTCTGCATTTAATAAATCCACTGTGTTTTAACCTTGTCTCTAGCTCTCTATGAAGCCTGAATTGGAGCCAGGCCACATATAACAAACAAACAAAAATCCACACAAGACACAGACCAAAGTCCACATTTAAAGGGTCATCCTGAGGCCCAGTAACCCAGGAAGATAATATTGGGAGAATAAAGGTAGGGTGAGTGGCAGCATTCCTAGGGCTTGGAGGCCCCTTCCAAACAGCTGAATGAAATCCCACATTTTCTGCTTTGAACTGGAATATATGACAGTGTAGAATCAGCTAACCTAGTTCAAAGCAGATATTGTGGGATTTTCTGCCTTGATATTCTGGGATATAGGACTGTGTAGAAGGGTCCAGTCTGAGAAAAGGCATCTGTCTCAACCAGTAAACCATCTTTCCCAATTTTAGTTTCCTGATACATTATGCTGTGGTTAAATAAGCTCAACATAAGCTTGGTATTTGATTCAGACATATGGGTCTGAGTTATTTAGTCAACTAATGCTGTCACCCAGTTTCATTTTCCAGATGCCAAGTTCATGCAAAGCACATGCTTGGACACATTATGTATGCAATACATTTCAAGCTACTAATGAAGAATCCCAAATCAGGGAATGGCATTTGAATCCCAAGGGTAAGACTAGCAAGTTAAGACATGGGCACAAGAAGATTTTTTTTTCATATATCTTCATAATCTTCCAGCTCAATAAGGACTGAAGTAGAGGCAGCAAAGAAGGAAGTCCTAAGGACCATTCTCCATGGTATGAGACCCTCATCGCTGACCAACACAGGCACACATGTGGATAGAAGCAATCCACTCTTTTACGGGCAGAAGTATAAGAAGTAGGGTACCTTCCTCTTGGAAGATAGGCATTAAAAGAAAGGTCACATCAGAACTTCTGCTACAATCCTAAAACACACACACAAAGCAGTAAATCTTACTGAACTTAGTGAGATTTACCTATCAGTTAACATGCATGTTATCTGCTAGGTGAAAGCAACCAAAATATATTCATTCCACGCTTTAAGGCTTGAGTTTTCCAATGTTAAGTGTTGCCTTAAAGTAGAATTTAGATATACCTATGAATGTGAAGAAGCACGAGTAAAAAATATCTTCATCCATTTTGCAGCATAGGAGGGGCAGAGGGGTGAGGGAAAGAGAGAGGAAGAGAAAGAGACAAACTTTATCCTGAAAGGAAGCATTTTTAAACAAATATTTTGGTAATCTCTTTGTAAAACAGCTAACTGAGATGAAACCAATCATACTGTGGACTGTTGACAGCTGATAATATATTTTGTTTTGTATGCAAAACGTTACATTGGCAGTGTAGAAGTAATCCACAACACAGGGATTATTTTCTATATCAACCAAAATAGAATCCAAATAAACATAACCAAGAAAATGTACTCATCAGGAAGATAATTTGTGGTGAACAGCCAGCATGGCAGAGTGGTTAAAGTACTGGGCTGAGACATGGGAGGTCCAAATTCAAATCCCCACTCAGACCATAACAGTCAGAAGGTGACCCTGGGCTAGCCCTTGACCCTTTTAGCTTGACCTATCTCCCTGGGTTATTATGAAGCTAACACGGGGAGAGCCACAGGCATCACTTTGAGATCAGGTCAGGAAAGACAGGAAAATAAGAAGACATTGCTCTTGAACAGGCGTTATTCTTCTTCAATCCCACATCTTTATCCACTTTGGCTGTGCTTCAGTCCTACTGTTCATGATTGTGCTTTCCAAGACCCAATGTATACTCAGAATCCCCTTCCTCTTCACAAAATCTCTTGCATTTACAGAAAGAACACCAAAAGGAAGTGGGGTTTGTCTGCTCATTTCAAAAAATGCATCAGCTCAAAATCTAAATATTACTCTATAGTCTTTCTATTTCTTGCAGATTAATTTGGAAGGGAACCTTTAAAAATATTCTAAAAGTTTAAATATATACTTAGGCAGACAAGATCCAAAAGGGTTGCAACAGTTTGAGCGTAGTCAAACAATTGGGAACCAGTTCCCGTCTGATCTCGGAAGCTAAACAGGGTAAACCCTGGTTAGTACTTGGATTGAGGGACTGCCAACACGTAACAGGTGCTATAGATTATATTTCAGTGGAAGGAAATAGCAAAACCACCTCTAAGGATTCCTTGCCTAAGAAAACCCAATGAAATTGATGTGGGCCACAGTAAGTCAGATAACTTGAAAACACAACTTGGGTTTACAAAGAACAATTTACTAGACATCTATCTGCACTGCTGAAAACTTGGACATATATAGAAGTATATACACTAGTGGTCCTACAACTCCCAGAAATCCCAGCCAGTTTATCAGCTGTTAGGATTTCTGGGAGTTGAAGGCCAAAACATCTGGGGACCCACAGGTTGAGAACTACTGGTTCACACACACACACACACACACACACACAATTGTGTATCCCTAAAGTGCAGAACAACAAGTTTCCTCATTTCCTAAATTAGATAATAAAGAATTGTGCAACTTACAGCTTCCATTAATCCTTTCAGAGATGGAATCTTGAGCATAAGTGCATCAAAAACTTCTTCCGATTCCTTTCGAACATACAACAACACTGGATCCAGCAAACACATCATAGGAAGAAGGGGGGGGGGGGTTAAATTAAGAGCAGATATCAGCCGAAACTATAACAGTGATGTAAAATAGTGAAACATGAAATATTTGCACTTATAGTGATACCAGGCTGGCCTAGGAGGAAACAGCACAAAAGCAAATCCACTGCTAAATCCAGAGCTTGGAAACATTATATGAAAGGGGGAACACCTTCCAGAATTGCTAGAGTAACGCACTGGATGTCCTGAATTCACCCTTCTGAATAAACTGCTATCTGTATCCTGCATAAACTGCTATCTGTATCCTGTATTATCACACCTATGGGTTAGATTTTATTACACTACCATAATGTTGGTTAACAATGGTGAATTTAGGACACCAGTGCTAGAATGAAAAAAAAGATCCAAAAGTTGAGGTGAGATTCCAAAAGGGCAATGTGCACATGATCCTTGGGATCTCTCTCTATGAGTAAACAACCAATTTTCCAAGTCAAACTCTAATGGAAAAACAACCTTTTTCACTTCATGGAAAATCACAGAGAAAACTTTTTTCCTTTGAATATTCTTTTTTGGTTCAGGATTGCTTTTATACCCTGGACTTGATCCTCAAGTACACAATTTGCAGACAATATTGTTCCTTAAGTGTGTCCACATTCTGAACTTGTTGAGCACATATGAGCAAATGTCAATTTTTCCACTTGATTCTCACATCTACTAGGTATTCAAAAGCTCTCTTTCATATATATATAGGGAGAACCATGATAAAAGACACCAAAGATGCCTTTATTGAAAATCAGGAGAGAGCAAGTAAGGCAGGCTGGGAGCCAGATTAGCACACCAACAGAAGACCTTGAAACACTGTACTCTCCCTTCATTGAGCCCACATGGACCAAAAAGTCCAAAAATCTTTTTTGCTTGCAATGCCTTCCACAGCAGGGTTTCTTAAACTTTTCTACCCATGACATCTTCAGGCCAAATACATTTTTACGGGATCCTGGGTATATATGTACTGGCATAAAATAGATATGCGAAACAAGCATTTACTGATAACAAATTAGTATTTGCAAGGTTTACTAAATAAGCTGATTTTCCTTTTTATGAAGTACAGCTGAAGCATCTTCTGAAGAGGCAAGCAGCAAGGAGTATTTATTTTTTATGCAGATATACCAAAACCCCAAAAGATGCAGGGAGTAATAAGTATTGCACTTCAGGAATCTGGAAATTGCTGGGTTGGGGAGTGTTGCTTTAGACCTGGGTGTCTTAAATGTTTCCATTCACAACTTTTTTTTTTGTCGTGTCAGGAGCAACTTCAGAAACTGCAAGTCGCTCCTGTTGTGAGAGACTTGGCCGTTGCTCAGGGGACGCCCGGATGATTTGATGTTTTATCATCCTTGTGGGAGGCTTCTCTCATGTCCCCGCATGAGGAGCTGGAGCTGATAGAGGGAGCTCATCCGCCTCTCCCCGGATTCGAACCTGCGACCTGTCGGTCTTCAGTCCTGCCGGCACAGGAGTTTAACCCACTGCGCCACCGGGGGCTCCCATTCACAACTGCTTTTGGCCCAATAATCTTTTACATGATTCTGACTATATAGATATATAAAACAGATATAAAAACCGAACATTTACTCATTACAAATCAGCATTCACAAGATTTGCTAAATAGGCTATTACTTTTTATGAAGGACATCTTCTGTAGAGCCCACTGTAAACATTGCACAACCAATTTGTATAAATGCCTAAAGTAGCGCTAAGTGCCATTCAGAAAAACGTTACTGTTGCCAATTTTTTTTGATCCCGACATTGAGCAAAGGGATGCCATTTGGAGTCAGGACTCAAAGTGTTCTAGGAGATTTGGGGGCATTTTCACAATTTGAGGCCCTTTACAACAGGAAGCAAGTAGAAAACACTTTTATATTCAGTTTCCGTTTCAAAAAAGGCCCATCCTGGCCCTAAACTGATTCAAGTGACCTCCCCAAACACAGTGAAAATGCCCCACACCACCTAGAGTGCATCTGGGGGCAAAACTGGTCATTTCTGTTTTACCGCAGAGGACCTTGGGGGCTGAATGTGATACACTTTGTCCACCTCTATAAGGAAGTGTGCATAAGCACAAAAAACCTTAAAAGGTTTATTACTTTTCCCCCTAGACAATCTGAATATGCCTCTCCCAATGAACATATTTTGCAAATTGCAGGAAGTATGTTTACCCTACGGCCCTGTCTAGATTGCCATATAAAATCCAGATAATCTTCTTTGAACTGGATTATATGGCAGTGTAGACTTATATAATGCAGTTCAAAGCAGATAATGTGGGTTATCTGCTTTCATAATCTGGATTATATGGCAGTGTAGAAGGGGCCTGGGCCAATAATTTGTTGGGGTTGCTGCCATAGCCACGGTTTCAAGAGCCAAATCAGCTTCCTGGCAGAGCCTTGCTGGCTTCAGAGGACCTTTTCTTCGGCCGCCCCTTCTAAAGCTAGTTTCTTATTGTTTCCTTTAAAAAAACTCATTCAGATTTTAATTCCCCTGCAAATGAATAATCTCACTGTGGTGTATATAACAAATAAATGCGGAGGCATGGCTCATACAGTGGACACTAGCTAGTTCACTCTGTCATGCAGCAAGAAGCCACTGTGAAGTGCAATCCAAACACAACTTTACTTCCAAATGATTTGGACTTTTACCTCTTTTGGGTTCTTCTATTCGTGATAACTTAATTGGGCTGGCAGAAAAATCATCTTCATTTAAGTAAGGCCCCCTCTTCATGGTAGAGCTCCTGGAAAATCAAACCACCAATTAAGCAATTACTTATATCCAAATAGTCTATTTTCACAATTGCAGGTAGCAGAAGTAGAATCTAGTCCTAATAACAGAGATGGTATCATGGCCAAGGTTTCAGGTCACCCAATCAATATCAGAAATAAATGAGTAGAGAACACACTGTTTCAAGAACTAGCTTATTTATCAATGAATGCATCTAAGCAAAAGGGAAATCTGCTTTAACACTCTTGATGACTTGTGAAGAGATTCAGCCCACCCCTGGGGTACACCATATCCTAACTACTCTGGATCTAGAAAATGAGAAAATATCAAAAGTGCTTTTCTCTGGATATCACATTTGGCTTTCACTGGGCAACCATATTGGAAAATCTGCTTGGTATTCACTGGAAAACACCTTAACCTACGTTCTAATGTTCTTTCTCTTCCTATCCCAGTCTTCCTCAATCTGGTGCTATTATAAGATTTTGGACCACAATTCTCAGGATTTTTGACCCCAGCCACAGAGGCATTTTGAGGTAACCAGGTTGCAGGAAGGGCTGTTCTACGATATCGTAAGTGCTTCAACTATTATCTGTACTAGAATTCAGCAAGGAAGATTAGCTGAGAGAAAGCAAACTTAACCTGGAATTATCTCATGCAAATTATCTCTACTGAGCTATGGACATTTCCTTCTATGTTGCATTAGTCCAGGTACTGAACTAAGGTGTTTTCATGTATTTCTTCAGCATTCAACATAGTTCCAGGGCAACAAGTTAGTCTTAACAGGCAGCATCTCCCCATATAAGCCTTCCTGTGCCATGAGATATAGGAAAAGTTCTCTCTCAGCCCAAACATCTTCACAGTTATGGTTAGTGGGAATAAAAGATAGAGCTTTCACAATGGCTGCCCCATAGGTACGAAACTCGCTTCCTGATGGCCTCATCCTTGCTCTTCTTCCATCAGCAGACAAGGGACCCTTTCAGAAGGGCCCTATATCCCACGATCTGATAACAGGTTTTATGCTTTAAACTGGATTATATGAGTCCACACTGCCAGATAATCTGGGGTAAACAGAAAACCTGGGATCAGATCCTGGGATATAGGACCTGTCTGGAAGGGCCCAAAGACTGCTTTATTCCAACAGGTTTTTTGAATGGAAGATTATTAAAGGATGGGCTTTAAAGAGAGTACTGTATTGTTTTTGCTGAATTGGTTGTAAAGTACTTTTCATTGTTTCTAAGTGTGTGTTTTTATATTGTTTTAATGCTGTGGATAGCTTAATTAATTGTATTTTAATGCTGCTTTTTATATATTAGCCATATTGTACGTATTTTAAATGTAAGCTACCCTGAACCCTAATTTTGAGAGATGACAGGGTCATCCTCATCATTAGGATTACTCCAACAAGGGCAAGAATCCAGGGTGACTCAATAATCTTAATAATAATAATAATAATAATAATAATAATAATAATAATAATAATAAGGAACAATGTTTGTCTTCTCTGCCATGATCTCATGTGGTCTTTGGCAATAGGCTGCCTATCCTAGACACAAGTATCACTTAACCAGATCTAAACTCCAAAAAAAAGTACCCCATACAAAAGACTAGTTCTAAAGTACAAAAGTTAGTAACAGATTTTACCCTTCTCCCTCCAGTTCATCAGATACAAGAGGAAACACCTAAAAGAGGAAGCAAAAATAAAATAAAGATCAGAGTATTTAGGAACATTTTGAGAGCATAATTAACAGATCAACAACAGAATAGTGCCACATTCTCTGTCCGTATAAGGCAGTGGTTCTCAACGTATGGGTCCCCAGATGTTTTGGTCTTCAATTTCCAGAAATCCTAACAGCTGGTAAACTGGTTGAGATTTCTGGGAGTTGTAGGCCAAAACACCTGGGGACCCACAGGTTGAGAACCACTGGTATAAGGAAACTAGCAACTGAGAGGAAATCTCCTTGATTGTGATCAACCTGGAGGTGCTCATGCAGGGTATTGTGGTAGAAAATGTATCTCAATAAATAAATTGAGTTAAGTTTGCTGATATAGTAATTGGAACAGTAACGAAATGTGATGAAATATCACTTTCTGGGAGATAATACATTCTAGTTACAAGTGCTCAGATATTTTCTCACCAATAGCATCACAAATTTCAGATACTATCTCTACTCTCAAGCACACAAATGTATTTATTATGTCAAAAGCTGAGCATGGGCCAAATTCCCACCTCAGTTAGTTTGTTCAATTTGATAAGATGTATCTTTCCACTCCCCCTCCCCTTTTATGTTTGTTTGTTCACGGTAACCCTATCCCATCAATATAAAACAAAAGAAAGAAACATACATGAGCTCCACGCTGAATATTGGAATAATGAACATCAGGTATGAAGAGAACTGGCTGGGTATCAAGATCCATAAATGGCTTGAAGACAGTGATGTCTGTACGCTTGTGGGATGGGAGCATGGGCACTTTGACATCAGAAACTGGTGGAAAGGAGGAAAATAGGATATATAAGGTCAAAGAAAGCAAAAGTAGAACTAACATGTGTGTTTGATATTTCAACTGGTATTATGATGCAAGCAAGACCTGCTGGTATTTTCTTTTCTGCACAACCCATGAAGGCAGATGAGTCTCTTACTTCACCTGACAACCTTAAAAGGAATCGCCCTGGTCTGCAGAAGTATGAAAACATACGGGGGTAGGATCCTAAGAGGGGGAAGGCCACTGCGAAGTACCTCATTAAGGATAATTCATGCTCATTGGGCCTGAAATTATGGGCAGAGGTGGAAAAATTCACAAAGAACATGGAATTGAGCAGCTACAACAGGCATGGGCAAACTTTCTAACATATACATTGTAGAATGAATGCAGTTTGACATCACTTGTACTGCCATGGATCAATGGTATGGAGTCCTGAGAGTTGTAGATTGGTGAGGCACCAGTTCTGTTGGGCAGAGATAGCGAAATGCCTTGCAAAACTAAAACTGCATGAATTCTATAGTACAGCTGCACCATTATATTCCATCACCATCTCTTCTTCCTCTGGAAATCCTCTCAATTACTGTTTGTCAGATAGCATTCCTGTCCTGTGTGCAATTTAGTTATGTGAATCGTCATTAATTTTGTTTTCGCATATAAAAATGAAGATTATCGAACATTTTCCACCAATGAAATGATACCTGTTTTGTGCATTTTAAAATGATTTTTCATGTTTCAGGACTTTTTGTGAACAACACATTTCCACAAGAAATGGGGCTTTAGGGACAGGAAACAGTGTCTTCAGTGCCAAAGAGTTTGTTTCATGAATAAAAATATTTATATACAATATGCTTTTTTAAAAAAATATTGTGGCAGTGGTCTATTTTCTCAACAGGGTGCGTCTCAAAAGTGTCAAAACGCCCTTTCCCATGAAGGATAGGAAACCTGACTAGTATTTTTTCCATCTCATTTCCATTAAGTGCAAGCTATTTCCTTGCTTAATCAATCTTCTCCCTCCAATTTCCCCTCACCAAGGAAATACATTCATCCTTTAGCAGAGTGATAGGTAAAATAAAGATAAATTGTACTGACTGCTCTCTTGTGTCAGCATGTGTAACTCCCTTTTAAAAGAAGCATTGTGTTATGGCATTGCCTGTCTTTTCAAGGAGGTTTAAGTTGAAATCGTCCTCTACAGTAGGTGGCACTTAAGCATATATATTTCTACTTACAGGCATTCAGCTGGGAGCTGGGGTCAGTGCACTTGCCTTTTCTTTTGCTTTGTTTTCGTTCCTCGTCCCTGATCTTCCTTTCTGCTCCCTGTTAGAGAAACAAAGGTGGATGTGCTTTTGGAGGCTTTTTTCTTTGTCTTTGAAGTGATTCTCTGCCTTCTTTCTCTCTGTGTTTTTTTGTACAGCTAGCCCTTTCTAGATCAGATACTGTAGAAATCACTACTACCTCTTCACCAAGTCACCCTGGGAGTACTGAATTTGAAATTTAGCCCCTGTCTGAATATACTATCTGAATGTAAAACAGTAATAAAGATGCTCTCTCCCATGAATTTAAATCATGAACCTTCCATTACGAATTTTAAATTGTGTTACTGGTTGTGTTAATACGTATTGACTGTGTGTTCTTTTCAGTTGATGTTTCAAGTGGTTTATGAGTTATGTGCTTTTAACTGATGGTATAGGAGCCCTCAGTGGCGCAGTGGGTTAAACTCTTGTGCCGGCAGGATTGAAGACCAACAGGTCATAGGTTTGAATTCAGGGAGAGTGCAGATGAGCTCTCTTTGCCAGCTCCAGCTCCTCATATGGTGACATGAGAGAAGCCTCCCACAAGGATGGTAAAACATCAAAACATCTGGGCGTCCCCTGGGCAACGTCCTTGCAAACAGCCAATTCTCTCACACCAGAAGCGACTTGCTGTTTCTCAAGTTGCTTCTGACATGGAAAAAAAAACCTGATGGTACGTGTTGTATAATAACAATAACAACAATGTCAACAATAGCAACCTACATAGTTCAAATCAATACATGTCAAACTAAGCAGTTGTGATCCTTTGAACTGGCTGTATGTAAGATATGTTGATAATGACTGCAATGTACCTCCTAATGTCTTTACTTTACAATTTATGACACATGCACCAAACTCAAGACCCGAAGGTCAAATCCAGCCCACCATGTCATTTTATGTGGCCTGTGAGGTCCAGATACATTTCAGAGCTTGGAGCTTTTTGAATGGTTGTGCTTGCATTTTGTCTTGTGTTTGTTGTTATTTTCAGAACATGATCAATGGATGAGAATGGAGTATGACATATTGTCTGGGGTTATTCACAAGTAGTTGAATTTACTCAGTCTTACAGTTACAAATGGCCATTCAAAGGCAACCATAAGATTGATGTGGCACTCGGTCAGAAGCAATATTATTTTGTTTAGTCAGAAGCAATATTTTTGAAAAGATAGTGGATATGTACTTTTAAAAACTGTAAAGATTTTCCATGACCAACACAGCTTTCCTGTGATTCAAGCCAAAAATACCCTCAAGAGATATTATAGTACAATTCTACAAAAGTCCACTCAGAAGTGAGCTTACTCTCTTGTAAATATATTTAGGACGGACTGCAGTCTTAATGTGGAATCAGCTGGTCCATTGTGTTCAGAAAACTAGAAAGGAATGCATACTGTACAGGTTTGGCAAGGAAAGTTGTTTTTTTAAGCTGAGCTATCCAGGCCCCATAAATTCTTCTACTTGAGGTAAAAGAGAGCAATTGTCCTCCAGCAAAGGAGAAAGACTAGATGGCATAGGAGGAGCAACCAAAATCTACCACTACTGCCTTTCTCCTCAGTTACTTCACTATAACTAACAATCAGGCCAGTCCTGTTTGAAGCACAATTCAGGTATACAAATACGTTTTCTGCATAGGAAAACACTTGGCAATGGTTTGCTCCAACACATTTTTGTTGTGATGTATCTTCAATGCTATTCTTGTAAACTCTGGCTTTTAGTGACCTAGAACCAAACTTGGAGACTAGCAGCATTAAAGACACAGACACTCAGTAAATGTGATGTAATATGCACAGATGCAAACCAGGGTAATCTAACATTAATTCTTTGTTGTTATATTGTTGCTATTATGTGCCCTCAATTTGGCTGTGGCTTTTAGCTGAGACTGTGACCTCCCTAAGGACACCCAGAAGGTTTTCATGGCTAGGCAGGAATTCAAACCCTTTCTACTTAACATGGAATACATAATCAGTATAGTGTACTGTAACATTTTAAAAGACTTTCTTGCCTGGCATTCCTTCTCTAGTGACCTGTTCTTCATCAGATCTCGATAAATCACATCACAAAGACTCCAAAGGTAGCAGATAATATCCAAGATACAGAGGACTGATAATGTTCTTTTTCCTGCCTACATATGCTACTGAGCTGACAGTATAACCTAAATATCTGACTATAAGAGATAACGGTGTTTCTAAAGCCATTGCTGGATAGATTCCTGTAGTTTTACCTTATCACAAAAGACTTTAATCTGGCAGTAAGCTCTATGGACAGGTTTGTTGCTCCTGTTGTTGTAGCTGTAGGTATCAATCTGAAGATTCAAAGGAAGTCCTTTCACACCTTTCTGGGAAGAGAAATCTGTACTGAGGCAGTTTACTGCAATGAAAACCTGTAAGCAAACCAAAAATAACAATTCTTATTAGAATCAGCTGTTTTTATGATTGTCTGTTACAGAGGAAGAAAAAATATATCACTGCTGCATTAATCCACAAACCAGAGCCATTGCAGATAAGGATTTAAGATCCATCACCCTGAATTCTACAAGAGATCTGAATAGCACAATCCTATATTTGATTATGCACTTCCTATTTATGATAGGATGGTGGTATTGCCAGTTGTGGAGTGTAAGAATGAACCATATTATCAAAGCACAGCAGATGTGAGATGAGGAATAAATACTGTGAGATGCCACAAAACCAGATTTTGCTGGAAAAGTGAGAATGGGTGTAAGGTTATAGGGTATGATAAGACAGGAAGATGAGCTTGAAGCTTTTCCGATTGTTAGAGCATTAGGAAAGGACAGCAAATAGCGACTGCAGTTATTTGATTGTTACAATTTTTTTACTACCAAGGAAAAGTGTGTTTAAGATTCTGTGTCTCAGGGGCCAGAATACGAGAGAAATAAAACATTATCACGAATTTTCACTTGCTATTCCACATCATGCAGCGTAACATCTTGGCTAAAAACTACTGTTCATGTATGACTTCTATGCTAAAGCAGCAATGGTGATCTGTAGAGGCAGCATACATTGAGTTCACACTGTTCACGAAGGATACATTAAAATGATCAGAATAAGTATTTTGACGGGGATAAGCCTAGGTATTTTTGGAGAATTATGATCTTTGGAAAGGCATGACCTTGTTATAAATCATAACCTTTTGGAAAAATGATGCCATAACCTTTTCGGAAATGGAAATTTCCATAACCTTTTGTAAAAAGGCATTCATTCATTGTGTGTTGTACGTTATATGGACTAACTGGACTAACTGTGTTGACCGACGATTCCTCTGCCTTGGGGCGCTACCATCCTGTGTGCAACGTGTGTCGAATCTCTGCCATCCATGTGACGCCTACCATCGCGCCCACTGTTCCACCTCCGGAAGGACTAGTTCATCGGTGGTCATTGTATTATAATTATATGCTATAATTAATTTTTATCAACGATTTGAATGATGCTGTTATCCTAGCTCGGCACTTTAATTTACCAATTCTTATCAACATTGAACGGTGCTGCTAAATTTTAATTTCAATCCTAGCACTTTAGCTGTCAGCACTTTAGCTCATTTGCACTGAAGTGGTCCTTTTAACCTGCCTTACCTCAGCACTTTTTCTCCCTCCATGACGCACTTTATGTAGACACGTCAGAATCAAGTGTTATGTCTATTGCACTTTAATAAGTGTTATGTCTATTACACTTTAACAACTTTTTATTATCTGTGTTATGCCCATTGCACTTTAACAACAAGTGTTACGCCTATTGCACTTTAACAACTTTTTATTACCTGTATAGTTGATATAACTTTGTGTGCACTTTAAGAACGAGGGATAAGCGGACTGACAGTGTTTTATTGTGAATTTTCTACATCCTCACCCATGCTACTGTCCATTCCCTGGTATTGGTATCTGTTAACCCTTCTTGTAACCAGTGGTAGTATAGATAAGAAATGGAGTGGACTGAGGAGTCCCGGAAGTAATATAGCATGGGATGAAGCTATGAATGCAGACTGCGTCATGGAGGAGGGAGGGTGTTCCAGTGGCCGGGGAGCCCCCATAGAAGTCGTGGTGGGGAGGGGGAGATACGGGAAAGGGAGACCTTTAATTCGGCCTAGGGAACTTCGGGAAGGCAAGATTCCAGCCAGCTTAAAACAAGCTATAATAAAACCGCTGTTGAAGAAACCATCACTGGACCCCACTCAATTCGTCAACTATCGGCCTGTTTCCAATCTCCCCTTCTTGGGCAAAGTCCTGGAACGTGTGGTGGCCTCACAACTCCAGGCATTCTTGGTAGACATGGATTATCTGGACCCGGCACAGTCTGGCTTTAGGCCGGGGCATGGTACCGAGACAGCTTTGGTCGCCTTAGTCGATGATCTGCGCCGGGAGCTCGACAGGGGGAGTGTGTCCCTGTTGGTGCTGCTCGACCTCTCAGCGGCCTTCGATACCGTCGACCACGGTATCCTTCTGGGACGTCTCGCGGGGATGGGTCTTGGAGGTACTGTTTTGCAGTGGCTCCGCTCATTCCTCGAGGGTCGGTCTCAGATGGTGTTATTGGGAGACTCCTGTCTCAACCCCACAACCTTTGTCTTGTGGGGTTCCTCAGGATTCAATATTATCTCCCATGTTGTTTAACATCTACATGAAGCCGCTGGGTGAGATCATCCGGAGTTTCGGGGTGCGATGTCATTTGTACGCGGATGATGTCCAACTCTGTCACTCCTTTCCACCTGTCACTAAGGAGGCTGTCCAGGTCCTGAACCGGTGCTTGGCCGCTGTGACGGTCTGGACGAGGGCGAACAAATTGAAATTGAATCCAGACAAGACAGAGGTACTCCTGGTCAGTCGTAAGGCCGAACAGGGTATAGGGTTACAGCCTGTGTTGGATGGGGTTATACTCCCCCTGAAGACGCAGGTTCGCAGCTTGGGTGTGATCCTGGACTCATCGCTGAGCCTGGAACCCCAGGTTTCGGCGGTGACCAGGGGAGCATTGGCACAGCTAAAGCTTGTGCGCCAGCTGCGCCGTACCTTGGGAAGTCTGACTTGGCCACGGTAGTCCACGCTCTGGTTACATCCCGTTTAGACTACTGCAACGCTCTCTACGTGGGGTGGCCTTTGAAGACGGCTCGGAAGCTCCAATTAGTCCAACGTTCGGCAGCCATGATACTAACTGGAGCGGAGCGCAGGGAGCACAACTCCTCTGCTGCACCAGCTCCACTGGCTGCCGATTTGCTACCGGGCTCAATTCAAAGTGCTGGCGTTGGCCTTTAAAGCCCTAAACGGTTCTGGCCCAACCTACCTATCCGAACGTATCTCGGCCTATCAGCCCACCAGGACCCTAAGATCTTCTGGGGAGGCCCTTGCTCTCTATCCCGCCTGCTTCACAGGTGCGGCTGGCGGGGACGAGAGACAGGGCCTTTTCTGTGGTGGCCCCTCGGCTCTGGAACGCCCTTCCCATGGAGGTAAGATCAGCCTCCTCGCTGATGGTATTCCGAAAAAGACTAAAAACTTGGATGTTCAAGCAGGCATTTGGTTAATTCGGTGCAATGAATGTGTCGACTACGGATTGGTAATATGGATGATGCAATTGGACCACGATTTTAGTTAGGAGATGTATTGGATTGTGATTTATGTGAAATATTGTGTATTATGTTTTTTACGGTTTTAATTGTATACTGTGTACTGTATATTCTGTTGTAAACCGCGTTGAGTCGCCAGTTAGGCTGAGAAACGGCGGTATACAAGGACAGTAAATAAATAAATAAATAAATAAATTACCATTTGGGAAAATCAGGAATCTCCCTGAAAAGTTAAAAACTCGCCTGAGTCAACCCTCTCCTTGGTAGTAAATATCCACCAGTATTCATGCAAGGCAATTTGGTTTCTCAGCAGTTAAACATATATCTAGATATCTCTTTGAACTATTAGGACCAAAGATATGCCAATGCACAGAAACATATAATCTATACACACACACATGTAGCCTTCTTTGAAAATAACATACTGATAGTTGGTTTACTCACAAACTTCATGTATTCAGCATACAGGTACTTTGCATATCAATCCAGTTACAGATAGGATTTGAAAGTTTCTCTGTGCAGATAACACAGGGCACCTTTCTTAAAATCTTAACAGTCCATAGTCTAAAGCATCTCTCTGTTCTGAGAGTCTAATAGAGTCTCTGTCTCATCTGAAACTCCAATGGACTCTGCTTCTACTGGCGTCTGAAAGCCTATAGTTTCTAAAATGGAGTCTGAGACCTGAACAGTCCCAGTTCTGAGCACATAGTCTGCAGCCTGTCCCACAACATAGAGTTAAAGAAAACTGCATATCAATACACACATATACAATACAATAAACAACCTGAATTATATGCAAACAAATAACTAGTGTAGGCTTGAAGAAGGTTGCTATTTCCAACAGGTTTCACCATCTGGGACCTTTAATTGCTATTTGTGACTCCAGCTGAGTGTTGCTTCTCGTATAAAATGTTCTAATTAATCTTTTGCCCTTCCTCCAATTAATACAAGGCTCATTCTTCTCCGCCACCTTTTATAATCACAACATTCCTATGAAGCAGGTCAGTCTGTGAAAGGGTAAGAGCATCAATCTTTTTTCATTTCTGAAAGATATATTTAGAACTATTTTTTTATTTCTAAGATGGAAAAATTTATTTATACCTCGATTATTTATAAAGTTTTATTTTTACATCCATGATGAGTGTGACAAGTATTGCTAGAAGAAACCTACTGCCGAAACCCACCAAAACTGTCAATTCAATGTAGTCCTAGAGATTCACTTCTATACTCCTTCTGAACTTACCATATGAAGATACTTGGACAACTTAAAACACATACAAAAATGATATTGTTCCAGTAAGAGATATAGTTTACTGCACATCTCTCACGTAAGTTGTTGTTGTTCATTTGTTCAGTCGTCTCCAACTCTTCGTGACCTCATGGACCAGCCCACGCCAGAGCTCCCTGTCGGCCGTCACCACCCCCAGCTCCCTCAAGGTCAGTCCAGTCACTTCAAGGATGCCATCCATCCATCTTGCCCTTGGTCGGCCCCTCTTCCTTTTGCCTTCCACTTTCCCCAGCATAATTGTCTTCTCTAGGCTTTCCTGTCTCCTCATGATGTGGCCAAAGTACTTCAACTTTGTCTCTAGTATCTTTCCCTCCAGTGAGCAGCCGGGCTTTATTTCCTGGAGGATGGACTGGTTGGATCTTCTCGCAGTCCAAGGCACTCTCAGAACTTTCCTCCAGCACCATAGCTCAAAAGCATCGATCTTCCTTCGCTCAGCCTTCCCTAGCTTTTCAAACGATCAGTGGCAGATGAGAGACCTCTAGTGGGGAGCAATGGGCACTGCAGCTCTAAAGGGTTCTTTATGGAGA